CTTGAATGCATGGATTGACATGAAAGATTTTGTAGAGGTTTTAGGGCAATCACACATCAAGTGATAGGAAAGCTTCCTCATTGAAAATTACAGTGTCAAAATTTAAATACCTCCATATACATAGTATAGTGTGCACAGTTCTCATACAGCTTTTTAAGACATGTGTATATATAACAATTATAATCATCAAATGTAATGACACCAACTACAAAATTTCTTTAAAAAAAAGCCCCTGGCAGGGCACGGTGGCTCATGCCTGTAATCCCAGCACTTTGGGAGGCCATGGATTTCTTTTTAATGAAACATACTCACCCAAGGCAGGGTATCCAAGGTAAAATCGATCTGCTCCCAACCATCCAAGAAAAAGAGACAATGCAACTGCCACTTTGTATGAATAGCCATTTCTGCAAAAAATTAAAACCTGAGTGTTATATTCATATATTTCCAATGTGGACATTTTAGAAAACGAAATTATTAACTACTACTTATTTATTAATTGGTTCATTCATTCATTCATTCAATTAATGTTTTTTGGATGCCTACTGTGTGTCAGGAACTATTCTAGGGTACTGAATATATTAATGAATAAAAGCAACAGAGATCCCTATCACCATGGAGCTTACAGTCTAGTGATAACAAGCAATAAACACAAACATATTTAAAAGGTAAATCATATACCATGTTAGAAAGTCATAAATTTTATGAAAAAAAGAAGAGCAGGCTGTGTAGAATGCCAGGAGCCATTTAAATTGGGTGGTAAGAGTAGGCCTCAGTGACATTTGAGCAGAGACCTGAGGAAAGTGAGTGAGATGCCATGACATGCTTCTGAGGAAAGAGGGTCACAGGCAAAAGAAACAGCTTGGTGCAAAGGTAGCATACCTAAAATGTTTGAGGCCAGTGTAGCAGGAGAGTGGGAGAAAGGAAAGAATATGAGCAGATGAGGTCAGAGAAGTAACGGAGGGTGCAGGAAGCAGATCACATGGTGCTTTGTATATCACTGTAAATACTCTTTCACTCTAAGAGAAATGGGAAGCTACTCAAGGATCTTAAGTAAAGGTGTGACATAATCTGATTCAGATTTTTAAAATATCACTCTGGCTGCTGTGCCGAAAAGAAACTGTAGGGATTATTTGTCAACTATTGCCACAACTATGTTGTATAACAAACTACCCCCAAACTCAGTGGCTTACAATAAGGTACTATTCTCACACTTATAGACTACAGATTGTCTGTGGTTCAATGGACCTAGGCTGGTTCAGCTAGGAGATTCTGCTTCAGGCTGAGGTTTGGCTGAGCTTCGATCAGGGCTGTAAATTCAGTTCAAGTCAGTTCTACTTAAATTTTCCTAGAGACTAAACTTAAGATGTAGCAGCTAGTTGAGGCAAGTTCTTTTCAGGACATATCATCTAGTACGAAAGGAAAGCTAAGGCTGGGTGTGGTGGCTGACGCCTGTAATCCCAGCACTTTGGGATGCCAAGGTGGTCAGGACACCTGAAGTCGGGAATTCAAGACCAGCCTGACCAACATGGAGAAATCCATCTGTACTAAAAAAAACATACAAAAATTAGCCGGACATGGATGCGCATGCCTGGAATTCCAGCTATTCAGGAGACTGAGGCAGGAGAATCGCTTGAACCTGGGAGACAGAGGTTGCAGTGAGCCGAGATAGTGCCATTGCACTCCAGCCTGGGCAACAGGAGCGGAACACCAACTCAAAAAAAAAAAAGAGAGACAAGAAACAACAGCATAAGCATCGGATCACCATACCTTTCTTGGACATGCAGAAAAGGTTTTCAGCCTTAACCAAGATCGGTGGTGGACAATCCAGAGTGCTGAACAGCCCTACAAGTTTCCTGCTCAATGCTATCCTTTTGAAAAAGAATGGATAGAATGTGCACATGGAATCGGTACTGTCCGGGCAGAGAAAGAGTGTAAGATAGAATATGATGATTTCATAGAGTGTATGTATACTTTGGTATAAAATGATGAAACATACGAATACCATCTGGAAGCAACAAGATAAACTGATAAAGGAAGTGAAGTACACCCCTCCACCTCACCACATGGGCAAGGTGAGCCTCGGCCCTGGGCAGACACAGCTACTGACATCTGGAGGCTGATTTTCATGTTCTCTGTTCTCCACTGGAAAGGTTGTTTATGGAAAACCTCCCTGTCAAAGTGTGTAAAAATAAAGTATTGCTTCATCCTAAAAAAAAAGGAAAGCTAAATCCCACAAACACATCTGCTTGTTTTGCACCTGCTAACATTATACAGGCCAAATTAAGTCACACAACCACACCCAAAAAACCAATGGAGTGCAAAGTATAGACTGTCCAATTGACAAGGACTGATGGCTGTTTGCTGAACAAATTCAAACTATCATGAGGAAAAAAAGAGTTTGAAGGCTACTGCAATAATCCAAGTGAGAATTAACAGTGGCTTGACCCAGAGTAGTAACAAAGGAAATAATGAGAAGTGATCAGACTCTGGATATATTCTAAAGTACAGCCAACTGATTTCTTGATGTATTAGATTTAGGGTGTGACAAAAAGGAGTAAAGATAGCACAAAAGATTTTATCCTAAACAACTAGAAGTATGTAGTTAACATTAATTGAGTTTGTGAAGGCTAAGGACAGATGGATCTTGGATATCTGGGTTTAGCTGTCTCACATTAGGGAGAGAAGCGTAGGCTATAGATAAAAATTAAATACTTAAAAGCATATAGAAAGTGTTTAAAGTTTGCCTGGCATGGTGGTTCATGCCTGTAAATCCAGCACTTTGGGAGGCCGAGGCAGGAGGATCACTTGAGCCCAGTAGTTCAAGACAAGCCTAGGCAACATAGTGAGACACCGCCTCTATTTAAAAAATAAAAAAGGAAAATATTTAAAGTTATGAGATTGCCATATGAATATAGATAGAAAAAAAAAGAGAGATCCAAAGGCTCACCCAGAGGTACTCCAATATTAAGAGACTAAGGAGAAGAGAACAAATCAGAAAGAAGGCTAAGGAGCTGTTTCTAACAGTAAAGAAGTGAAACTAGAAGAGTATGGTATCCTGGAAGTCAAGAGAAGACAGGGTATTTAGGAGAAGAGTGATTAACTGTGCCAAATGTGCCTGGTGCGTCATATACCATGTCTGATAATTTAATTAAAATTTAAGAAATCACTAGTGATCTTAGCCTGAGCAACCGTGGTGATGCAGTGAGGGCGTAAGACAGAAAAGAGTGAGCTTAAGAAACAATGGGAGAGCTGGGCACAGTAGCATGTTCCTACAGTCTCAGCTACTTGGGAGGCTGAGTGGGGAGAACTGTTTGTGGCTGAGAATTCAAGGTTGCAGTATGCTATGATAGTGTCTGTGAATGGCCACTGCAGTCCAGTTTCCTGGGCAGCATAGCAAGATCCCTGTCTCTAAAAAAATTTTTTAAATAAAAAATAGTAATATATTAAAAATAAAAGTATGGGAGAAAAAGAATTTATTAGATAACTTTTTGGGTTTGAGATGGCGTCTCACTCTGTTGCCCAGGCTGGAGTACAGTGGCAAGGTCTTGGCTCAAGGCAACCTCCACCTCCCAGGTTCAAGCGATTCTCCTGCCTCAGCCTCCCAAGTGGCTGGGACTGCAGGTGCGCACCACCACACTCTGCTAACTTTTGCATTTTTAATAGAGACAGGGTTTCACTATTTTGGCAAGCTGGTTTCAAACTCTTGGCCTCAGGTGATCCACCCGCCCCGGCCTCCCAAAGAGACAGCCATAACTATCATTTTGAAGTCAAATTTCATCATGTAAGATCTCTGCTTATAATCCTGTTTTGGTTTTGTGATTTTTTTTTTCCTGCATTGCCGTGCATATTTGCAGGGAGTTGGGAAAAGCAGAGAAATAACTTAGAACCCAATGCAAAAACTCATGCTGTAATCTAATGGGCAGTAACAGCGGGAGAAAGAAGTGAACAAATTTGGGAAATATTAACAAAGCAGAAGCAAACAGGCCACATGTGGGGAATGGGGAAAAAGGAGAAGTCAAAAGAAGACTCTAAGCCTGGCCGGCGGCTCATGTGGTAATCCCAGCACTTTGGGAGGCCAAGGCAGGTGAATAACCTGAGGTCAGGAGTTCGAGACCAGCCTGGCCAACATGGTGAAACCCTGTCTCTACTAAAACTACAAAACTTAGCTGGATGGGTGGCAGGTACCTGTAATCCCAGCTACTCAAGAGGCTGAGGCAGGAGAATCGCGTGAACCCAGGAGGCAGAGATTATAGTGAGTCAAGATCACGTCATTGCACTCCAGCCTGAATGACAGAGTGAGACTCCATCTCAAAAAAATATAAAAAATAGGCCAGGCACGGTGGCTCACGCTTGTAATCCTAGAACTTTGGGAGGCCGAGGTGGGTGGATCACCTGAGGTCA